AATTTTACCCCCGTGATTTTTAGGGAGTGTTTCTGTAATACAAATAATGTCTATACACTCGTTTGCGATCACAGCTAACAGTTCACTTTTCTTGTTCAAAACGGAATCCGAGTTCGTGTAAAAACCTTTTTTTGCGGCGGGCCCGTCGGCCCTCGTGGTGTCCGAGGTCGTTCGTTTCTTTGTTAAAATGCGGGGAACCGCCGGGTTGAAGGAGGGGCCGTACACTTTTTCGTGGACTGCATCGACGGTGTCCTTGGGGAACAGGGCTGGCCCGATCAGATTGGTCTTCACTAGATCTGATACCCAGTCGGAGGGCTGCATGCCCTCGGTGACTTCTTCGCGGCATTTAACTTTGTTGAAGTTGACTTTAGAACCCAGTGAGATGAAGGCTGGGGTGAGGGTGGAAATGGACAGGTCGATGATACCCTGAAGATGCTTGGAGGGTTGGTGGCCCTCCTTGCGGAAAAACTCAGTGGCGTGCTTCGCCATGCCCAACACTTCCATGGTTTTACCGACGGAGTCGAAGCGGAACCCGTCTGACGCGGTGGTAGAGGGGGTGTTGGCGGGGGTCTTACTGCAAGGGCGGAAGGCCTTGTCCAAATGTCCTCTCAGGCTCTAGTGCTCGAGGGACCATGGTTTCCCGTTTAGGGACTGTAGGCGGGGGTCTTCGCTCTTGAACTGCCATTTCACGGCTGGAAAGGGCTTCGGGGTCTTGGGGGCCCCTGCCCTCTCTTCTATCTTTTCCCACAGATGAGGATTCCTTCTTCACAAGGGACAGGACTTATATTGAGGTCCTCCTTCCAATCTGCGGCCTCTGCGTATTTCTCGTGCGTGAGTGCAGTGAAGGCGCGTCTGAAGATGAGGAGGTCGTCCTGGGTGGTCTCAGGTTTAAATAGGCGGCAGCTGGCGAACAGATCCTTGCGAGCGATGGTGGCGCTGTCGTTAGCTGGTGTGAACAATTTCGTGTTTCTGACCTGCTTTGTCTTGAAGCTTGCTCTATTGTAAAATACGCCGTCAATGCGCCACGCCACCCTGTTGTTCGACTTTGGGACCTCCTCGCAGTCGGGGATGACGTACCATTTCTCGTCATCCATGGAGGATTCCTCAGACTCGGACTCGGAGAGTGTGAGTAGTGATGGTGACAGGGGCGCTGGCAGTCTCGTTCGAGCTGAGAGCGGCGGGTGTTGGTAGGGACTGAGAGGGCACGACCTGTGGAGCCGTTGGTTGCTCAATCCGGGGAGCTCCTGGTTGGCGGAACCGCGGAGGGGACCCCTGGATTGCAACTTGTTGAACCGGGGAAGGATCCGCGTAAGATTCCTCAGGCTGCGAGGACTCGTCCTCTTCCGAGGAGTCCCCCAATTCATCCATAGAGAGCGGGCCTTCCTCTTCGGAGAAGGAATCTTTCCCCCCGGAACAAGCCTCCTCGAGCGAGGAGAGATGTTCTCGCTGAGGGTTGTGGCCCGAGGTCGATGGGACAGGCTCGGTCGTGGCGGGGTTTCGTTGCATTGCAGTCGGGCGAGACTCCACTGTGCCCAGTCGAGCGGTGATGGAACGCAACATCTCGAAGATGGCGTCAAAGTTTCCCGTGTCGCTGCCAGTCGAGAGTGATGCGGTAGACATTGCTCCAGGGAGCGTTGTCGCTGAGGGAATCTTTGTCCCCTCATTTCTCTGTTCCGCTGACGCGAGAGATTTTCTCGCCGGCGCGGGAACTTGTCCCGCCGATGCGGGATCTCGTCCCGCCGAGGCGAGTAACGTTACCGCAGGCGCGGCCGCGGGTGGCTCAGGTTGGATAGGTGGTTCGTAGGGATCTACGTCATGGATGAGACCATCGAGGGTCGGAAGGTGCCTGCTAAAGTTTCGTACGCGGAGGGAAGTAGTGCCGCGGGTGCCTCCCCAGTACAGTAGGGAGCGGGAACGGCGGTAAGGCTTGGCCCTGAAGTGGCGGAAGTGGAGGGTTTCTGCTTGTCCCGGCGTTATCGGACTGAAGGGGTCAACTGAGATGTACCGGGAAATAGCTGAGGAGCTGGAGGGCACGTAGGAAGCTCTGGAATGGGGGCGTTTAGCTTGGCGATAGCCAACATCGAAGGCTTTGTCGTTGTCGGAAGCCCAACGGAACCCTTCCCCTTGCCACCTCGATTGTTGTGCCCTGTTGAGGGCCTGGCTCTGGAGGCTCGCGAACATTCTGCGGGCGAACTCTCTTTCAGCAGTATCGGCGTCTGTCAGCTTAGGAAGCAGGGATAGGCACTCGTCACAGCCTGAAGTCTTGTAGATGCACCCGATCAGAATGCATTTGCTGTGTTTTGCACAGCTATGTTGAGGCCTCTTGGAGCACTTATAGCAGGATTCGTCCACTACGGTAGAACCAGAGGAGGAAATGACAGTTGTAAGAGAACAGCCTAAAACTCCGAGCTCTAATTAGATTGTTTTCGTTCCTCAAACGAAAATTTTTAAAACTTTTTGTCCACTTTCACTTTGATGTATGCGGTTACTTCCTACATTATTTACAGGCCTTGATCTACGGACATCATTCCCACTAATTACTTCTCCATCTCCTCCGACTGTCCGTGAGCAGCCGGTGTTGTCTTGGCTATATGTTCATGGCTATATGTTCAGACTTGAAATGCCTAGCACCATATCGAGCCCGATGGAAGTCTAGTAGCTATTTCAAACTATCGTCAGTCTTGAAAATACCCGGTCAAATGACGCGATTTTAGATCTTCTGTGAACAAGTCACGAAAAGTAAGAATAGGCGACAGGCCACATCAGCCCTATTTTTCAGCGCCGACATCGCTATGTTATGTTACGTTATTCTTTTGTGATAATCGTAATGATTTACTGTTGTACGAGAATAAGTGCTGTCAATCTACGATACCATCGTCAAAGTAAAGACGGCTACGTCGCCATCTTGCGTAAGGAAAGCTAGATATTTTAGAAGTAGATGTTCTATAAAAAGTCGATTATAACTTAAAGTCATGTTGTCAAAAGGTTGAACTCTTTATCAATGTGATTTTACTAGGTGATAATACTTCTCATTGTATTTGATAATGCTTAGCCAATGTTCATTTGTCTAGTCTATTGACGAACTGGTATCGACTCACTCGCTCGCGAGTTAATTATCCTCGAGAGTTATTCTATCTTATATCAACTTTCACTTATCATTATTTGACCAAAGGATTATATTATGATTCTATTTTATTGTAATATACTATATTATAATTTTTTTGCATGTAGACGATTTTATTAGCCCATTTTCTGTACATTGTAAACGGGGTGTGTATGTAAGCTCATTTTGGCTGATTTACCCCTCGCGGGAAAGTTGTGTGTGCTCAGTGGTACAGGTTTGGGGTGCAACGGTCTCGACTCGAATTCGGGGAGCTAGATCTGGGCTTCCATGAATGAACTACACTGTAGTTCTGGACATTACTCGTAAAGAGTTAACGGACTTACATATAACGGCGTAGGTAGAGTTCTTGGCTGGTTGCCAATGACGGAAAACCTCTGATTTGGGGGGCGCAAAGCCCACCTGTTTTACCCCGCGCCTCTACGCGTATTGTGCTTTGCACGAGCTCTCATTATTCTACTCACAGTACGTGCGATTGTAGAGCGAGGTAAAGTTTTCACTCTCGCAATCCCACAGCCCAAACCTCTGCTCCAATCTCGCTGGAAGTTTCACCACTATAAGTCGAAATTGAATTTCCAAACTATTTTTACTCGTGTGACTTTTCGATAAAATGTCGTTTTCTATGCTTTTTTCACAAAAAAGCGGTGTTTTTTCCCCCTTTTTCAGAGGGAAATTTTTTCCACGCTCAATATCTCCCACACCGAGCCATAAATTTTCCCCAAACTTTGCATGAGTATTCTCTCATCCATGGGCTGCATTATCCTGCAAAACTCGTCTCCAAATTTTTCCTTTAAGGGGGGACTTTTTTCATTTTTTCAAAAATCCAAGATAATTTTACTCTTCATGTCACAGCTCGGCAACGCGTGCTCCGATCAAGCTCAGACTTTCACCACTTTATTTGCCCGTAAATTTGCTGCAAAACCACACACGTCACGACCCGCAAAAATGTCGCTTTCCTGTTTTTTTCCCGCAAAACGCGCGCGCAAAATTTCCGCCCTTTCTTTTCAAAAATACACTTTTGCCCTCAAAGCCCCCCTTTAGAGACTGATGATCTTGATCAAACTCCACCCACGTGTTCTCTAGTTTGTGCCCAACATTTTGGTACCAGTCTCATCCCGATGCTATAGGTTTTTGAATGAGAGACATTGTTGTGAGATGTGTGTATTATAAAGGAAAAAAGTGTAAAATGAATGAAGAAAAAGAAGAAGGGGGGGGGGTGAGGTGGTGAATAACTGGTTCCAGCTTTTGGCTGCATTGGGCGGTTAACAGCCGTACCATTCGCACCCTCGTGTCGTAGAGGCTAATAACCTCTGCGCTCGAGTAAATTGTCAGCGGCCTATTGGGGGCTCGTACCCTTCAATAGTCGTGCTTTTGAGGCGTAACTGCCACCCCGTTCCTGTGTGGTTGTTGGCCTCTCGGTGCGGCTAGTTCCCGTAACATTTGCCGTCCGCTTAGTGATTCTTGCGGTGCATTAGGGCTAGAACCCCTGGTCTCTGCGGCAGGTTGTTGACATCTTGGTGCGGCTGATTCCCGTACCATTTGCTTTCCGTTTTAGTGATTCTAGCGGTGCATTAGGTAATCCTTCGGGGACCTTGTATGAACCATGAGTATACTTGTATACTTCTATGAGGTCCCCACGCAGACGTCGATAACTAAGGCTAGGAAGCTTCATAACCTTTATTCTTTCTTCATATGACTTGCCCTTCAAGCCTGGAATTATCCTTGTTGCACGTCTTTGAACATTCTCTATTAAATTTTTGTCCTTTTCTAATCTCGGTGACCACACAACGTTTCCATACTCTAGATTCGGGACAAAAACAAATGAAAAATTTTTCAACTGCTATTTTAAAGACTTGATTTGTGAGGTTCAAATCTTGTTATTTATATTATGAGTAACAAATGTAATAAATCTTACCTCCGTCTATTCAACTGGAATCCTTTATCGATTCATCTTGATGCATGTTGTGATTGTTGTCACTGGTTCCTCGCCCAATGTCCAATAAAAACAATGAATTGTTATGATTGAAACATGATAGCTCTTTAACACCAACCAGCCAGGATGCTAAGGAGTAAGGAAGCTCTCTCTCTACCCCCAAGGAAGAAAGTAGACAAGGGCAGTCCCGCTTCACACCAGCAGATTTATGACAGCAAAGAAAGGTATTGCATGAAAGGTGCAACACTAGTACGTGGTAAGAGCCAGCTTTTAAATAAAATGGGAAATCTCCAATTCAGCAGTGATGCACCATTTTTTAAACAAATAACTACAAAATGGAAGTTGACTTAGATATGTGTTTAATATTCATTAATAGAGAACAAATAGTACTACTACCTTATGTCTCATAAATTTAGGTGTGTCGCTTTGTATAATGAACAGTGATGTACAACAAATCCTGAAGATTATGCAAAAAAAATCCAAAAACTGATGTTATGCAAAGTTTATATATTTTTCTTTTGTTCTAGAAGGAAATTACGAATGAACAGCTGAAAAGCATAAAAAATTCAGATTGATATTTCATACACGAGCGGAGTTATAATGATTTGCAGAAAAGGGTGATTTTGGTGGTGGTTGTTGGAATTGAGTAAGATTTTGCCGTCCCTCTTCCTTAATTGATCGATGCAATTATATATCACGTAGGATGGAGTGAAGAATCTTAAGTTTCAGTTATTTGTTGAAGAAAGTCGGGCTGAAGAAAGAATCCGCTGACCAACACCTGTATCAGTGATGGCCGCTAGAATTGACATGACATGAACACAATGGAATAACAATATCAAAAGAATACAGAAAATACACATGGTGATTCAGTTATGACAGTTACACTGAAATGTTTCGTTACATTATAGGCATCGAATTCTAGAGAAGAACTTATTAGCTAACCCTTTAGCTGTTAACTTCACGGCGGCAAAATTCACAATATTTGTTGGTACGATCCCAACACAAAAGATATTTTGTCGTTTACTGAATTTTAATGATTTAGAAAGAAATTACATGAGTGTAATTCATGCTCAAGGATTGATGAGATTTATTGACTGAATGTTTTTATCATTATTCAATATTGAAATTCATGAAATCTGAAATAAATGAGCGAGTTCAATGTAATAAAGTTACATATAGTTACAAAGGTTTTTGATCACCAGTTTGACGGTTTAAAAAAAATTAATTATGACATTCAAGAGAAATACTATTGCGAGATATAAATTCGAGTCACTACAAAAGCAACGTCGTGATAGAATCCCATGGGCACCAGCCGAGTCTGCTTGAGGGCTTGTGGTTCTCAACCTGAGCTTTTTTACCCATTTTACTTATCGAGATTCTATCATGGCTGTTTCTCTTGTCTGCAGCAGAGACTAGCAAAGTCGTACAAACCATTTGTGAGGAAGCGAGTTCCCATCCTGCAGTGGGCTCCCAAGTACAACGTGGAAAGTCTGCAAGGAGACGTCCTTGCAGGATTCACTGTCGGTCTCACCGTCATACCTCAGGGCATTGCTTATGCTGTTGTTTCTGGAGTGGAACCTACGGTGAGTACATCTTCTGCAAGTATTTGATGTTACTATTATTATTATTGTTCTTCGAAGCATTTATCGTGGCGTCTGGTTCAAACGAACTTCGAGGGCACGTCACACGTAAGATTAATTGCAAGCGAAAAATAAATAGACACATGAAAGGATGGGAACGGCTAAAATGACTAATGGCTAAGCACTAGATTCATAGGCTCTACGAAATCGTTCCGCCTTAAGGCGTCGACGAAACATCAGCAACGAAGGAGCCGAAGTTACGGAAGCTGGCAGACTGTTCCAGGTTCTGGCGGCAGCGACCGGGAACGCTCTGTCGCCGACAGTAGATAGACGTGTAGATGGTTCGACTATGTCCTTTGTTGATGACGAGCGCAATCGTCTTCTAGATGACAGATCTGACGCGTGCTGTAGACCTCCCGAGAGATAAGGAGGCGCCAGACCGTGAAGGCATCGGAACGTCATAACAGCGACCTTGAACTGCGTGCGCTGCTGAATGTGCAGCTAGTGAAAATCGCGCAATATCGGCGTCGCATGGTGAAATTTTCGCTTATTGCACAATAGTCGAGCAGTAGCGTTCATTACGGATTGCAGTTTATTAAGTGCCGTGGTTGGAAGTCCATAAAGTGTGGCATTACCATAGTCCAATCTGGCCGGAACGAGCGCCACCACAGACAGCGGCTGATGATCCGTATTCGTCTCAGAGCGCCAAAGCAAGCGGTGGTGACTTTGACAATGTGACTGTTCATTGAAAGTTCCGAGTCCAGCAGAATGCCCAGGTTGCGAACTGCGGACGCAGGCATGGCGAACTCGTTGCCCACGCGAACAGGGTTGGCCGGAAGCCGATGCTGCTGGCGCAGAGCAGTCGCAAAAAAATCGTCTTCAGATGTATTGAGACGGAGCCGGTTGGAGCGCATCCAGTCTCAGACAGCGTACATGCAGGCAGACATACGATCCTGGAGCGCTGCGACGTCAGACGGTGCACCGTAGCCATAAATTTGGGTGTAGTCGGCGAACAGATGCGGATTGAAACTACGTGAATCGATTATATGCAATACGTCGACAGTATATAACAAAGATGGTCGGGCCTAGGACTAATATCTCTGGCACGCCGCGTGACCAACGATGGCGTAGAAGAAAAGTTCCCGCGTCGAACGCATTGGAATCTACATATTACTGAGATAGGACTCGAACTACAGCAGCACTGCAGGTGCCTCGCAGGCCGAATGATACGTCAAGTCGACGAAATAAAGTGGCGTGGCCAACCGCGTCAATCGCTGCTGACAGGTCGACTAAAGCTAGTGCCGCAATGTCACCACGGCTTACTGCGCGTAGAATGTCTGAAAGCACCTTCAGCACAGTGGTTTCCGTTGAGTGGAGATGACATTATGCAGACTGGAGGCGAGGCATGAGACCGGTTTCCTGAAGATGGTTGTTCAGCTGTCGCACTACAACGTGTTCCAGACGTTTCGACAAAATTGACAGGTTGGAGATAGGTGGAAATGATTTGGGATCGAAAGTGTCAAGGTATGTTTTTGCCGCGTCTGTTCGCACGGTATATAGACAGTCTGCTGAAGCAGACTGTCTGTTCCCCCGCTTCGAAACTCGACATTCATCATCGACCCATGGGTCAGAGACTCGTTGGGGTCTCCGAACTGTGCGTACAGGAATGAGGTTATCGAGTGCACAGGTCAGCTCGGTGTTATAGAGTTGCACGAGCTCGTTGACGTAGCGCCGACATATGAGTCAGGTCGACATAGTGTCGGGACGACTGCAGCTTATCGCTCAAGACATCGTCGTCGAGACCGCGCCACGGACGACAGTAACGGTATTGTACGCTGGCACCGTACACTGTAGAAGTCGATGGTCGGATATTGCGATCTCGATGATGTCGACTGGGAGACTTTCAATGTCAGCACGCGTAATGACAACGCCCAACAGTCCGCCCTTGTCGTGCGTCGGCAAGGTCACGTGACAAACCTTGCCGAAGGCTGCCCGATGGGTCTTCGACGCGATCCAGTCGAACGTTCAAATCGCCTGTGATAAGGACATGATCGGGCAAAATCACAAGTCTTGTGAAGACATCGCTCAATTCGACCAAAAAATCGCGCGACATAACAACCTATCCAGGACGGTAGATGGTGACTGCAACGCCCGCAAACGAAGCACAGGTGACCCTAGCACATAGCAGCTCATAGGTGGTGAGTCGAGCGTCGATGTCAAGAACGGCAAGGTGCACGCCCCCACTGGTGACGGTAGCTACTCTACCGAAATTCGTCGCCAGGGTGTCGGATTGCATGCGGAGACGCGCAAGATCTTAAGCGCAAGATTAAGAGCGGAGAGGCGCAAGATCTTCTACAAGTCTTTGTTTTTGGTGGAACCTACTATGAGTGCATATTTCGCAAGTCTTTGATGCATGTGGAGACTGGCTGATACTAAACTCTCTCAGGTGGAATACATCAGAAACGTTGCTTCTTGCATAGCTTGATATGAAAAGGAATGGTGACTTTATAAAGAGCATCTTTAATTAAAGGTGTCCAGCAGGCATTCGGTGCTTGAATCAACGTTGAATCAACTACGCATTACGACATTGAGATCGGGGTGAAAAGGGGTTTATAATGAAAATTGAAGCAACATCTGTCATGTAACGTCGTACTGACGTTAGAATGCAACGTTGAATTAATGTTGCTACTACGACGTTGCTGCAACGTTGAATTCTATGTTTGAATCGAAGTTTAAACAACTAGGTACCTATTATGACGTTGAGATCGCGGTGAAAAGAGGTTTAGAATGAAAATTAAAGCAACGTCTCTCATGAAACGTCGTACTGACATTACGATGCAACGTTGAATCAATGTTACTACTACGACATTGCTGCAACGTCAAATTCTGTTGTTGAATCAACGTTGAAGAACCAACCTTTTTTCGTCCGTTGCAAGATTCGAAACCGGGATCGCTGAAGACCTTGATCGCGACGCCTTTGCAACCTTGACCACGGCAGCTCGCGTGCACGAGCAATAGTAATATTCTAAAGAATTGTTAGACTCCTTGAAAATTGAACTGCATTCTCTGGTCATTAATCGTACACTTATAGATATGTATTTCATTCAATGTTGGGGTGATAACATTAGATCCATGCTGGTAAATAGCGAAAGATTCAACGTACCGATATCGACCATTTTTCAACGTTGAAATAAGGTTGTTTTACGTCCTTTCTAGTTTAAGTCAGATTTCGATATTGATCGAAACTTTTATTTTGGATGTTTAGCATTTCAACCTAAAATCAACATCGATCGGACGTTTAAAAATAAATAAACATTCAACGTACCACTATCGATGTTGTTTCAACGTTGAAATAAGGTTGTTTTACGTCCGTTCTAGTTTTGGTCAGATTTCGACGTTGATCGGACGTTTAATTTTGGTTGGTCGGCATGTCAGCCTGAAATCAACCAATAATCAACGTTGTTTCAACGTCAGATGACTGCTGGGTGTGGCTTATCTGAATCAAAACCATTTATATACATATGTTTTTAGATAATTTTAATACATGTTCATTAGGTTATTATCATTTTATAATACTCATTTGATATGATTCCAGTATGGCCTCTACTCATGCTTCATCGGATGTTTTGTGTACATGATATTCGGGAGCTGCAAAGACGTCACAATTGGACCTACAGCCATCATGTCCATTATGACCCACGAGTATTTAAAAGAATTGGACTGCGGTGAGGGCGAGACGGTCGGCCCCACTCAAGTGGCTATAATGCTCACCTTAATTACTGGCATCGTCATCCTGCTTGCCACGGTCATGAGAATAGGTCAGCTTTAATGCTTCGCGTCGAAAATTTGAATATTTTAAGATATTTTAGAAGTTCCTTCTGAAAATCTTTAACGTAATTTTGCTCTAGGAAGCTGGTGGTTTTTGTAAACAATTCAAACAAAATTTCAATGTATTCCTATATAATAAAAGGCTTTTAAGTATTTTATGACTGTATAATGATGTAGTTATAATATCAAGTTCACCCAAGAAAATTTGACTTCCACTATTTCAAACATATTCACAATCTCAGCTAAGAACCTATATACATGTTCTGAATTGAAGTGTTGATGTTGAAATTCTGTTAAAGGGCAAATAATTTGTTTCATTAGTGCTTCCCCATTTTTATTAATAATTTTTGCACATAGACTAATGCGAATACTCCTGCATATTCCCTTCATAAAGCTCATAAATTAAATATGTTGTAGGTTTCCTGGTGACGTTCATCGGGCGCACTGTGATCAGCGCGTTCACGTCTGCTGCGGCCATCACTATCGCCACGTCTCAGGTCAAAGGGCTACTGGGGCTGTCGTTCGAGGCTGAGGGCTTCATTCCAACATGGAAAGCCATATTCCAGCACATTAGCGAGACGCGCTACCAAGACGCTGTCCTGGGCATCGTGTGCTGCATAACTCTGCTGCTCCTCAAGGTAGGCTTGTCTCATGCATAGTTATACTCTGTCAGGGCTGCCACCGCATAATGCGCCGCTACGAAAGAGCTTGCGTTTACAATTATTTTAGAAATGCAAATTCTAAGCCATTCGATTAGGCACTGCAAAACTTAGCTAATAAATTTTACCATTTGTAGCAGAGAATACCATGAATCTTTTTAAACAAATTAAAATGATAATTTAGCAAATATTTGATAAGTGCCAGTGTTTCTTATATTCTCTGTACCGGTGTACTACCCAGTCCATTAGGGAGCTGAAAGCAGCCACTCCACGTGAGGGAGATTCATCCAAACAACGAATCCTGAAAAAAGCAATTTTCTTCGTGTCTGTTGGCCGAAATGCTATCATCGTGATCATCAGCACATCATTAGCCTACGGTCTGCGTGAGAGCGAACCATTCAAGATCACGGGTGACATCACTGCCGGCTTCCCTAAGGTGTCGGTGCCCAGTTTCAAAGTGACGTGTAACAACGGCACTGAAGTTCTCCACTTCACTGACATCGCGAGCCGCGTGAGCATCGGCCTCTTCATCCTGCCTCTCATCGCCGTGATTGAGAACATCGCCATCGCCAGCGCTTTTGCTGGCAGCAACGCCATCGATGCCACGCAGGTTACCCATAGTAGTAAAGTATAGTATAGTATATTCGGCGTTGTAGAATAAGTTTTCATATGCCTGTCGCTGGTTCTTGTACTTTTTTAATAGTTCACAGTTCTAAAAGACTGGCCTTTTGATCAAATCTTTTCAACGGACGGTAAGTTTAAAATCGTTCTAGACTTTCAGTTGTTCCGTAGGGTACTAGGCATTTCAAAACTAAACATATGCTCCTGCATGGCCTTGTCTAGTCTGTTTTTGAACGCGTTAATACTCGGAGCGTCAAAAATATCTTCAGGGAGGCTGTTCCACACATGGTTGAACTATATGAAATTGGCCCACGAGGATGTCCGTCTTTGAGTTCAACTTTCTTGTTACGTCACTTCGACCGAGAAACGTAAACAATACCGTCATTCCTATGACGGATTGGTTGATTGGTTTGATCGCATTTCGGTGATTGGTTAATGCCCGTGACGTCACTGAGATCAGTGACGTCACAGTCGAACAACGAACTACATCCGCAAAATGAGCTTCTCAAGGGTCAACCATATACTATTTCACCCATGGTTACACATATCGGGGACTCGAAGCGACGAGAAAAAGTGTTGTCGCATGAATGAGTTGCACCGCAGTTTTTTTTTCAGTTTATAGCTGTGGCCCCTGGTGTTGGTTTTTGTTTTAAATTCTAGTACAAACCATGCGTGTACTTGTATTCTTCAATGAGGTCATGCTGATATGAGACTGGGAAGCTTCATAATCTTCAACCTTTCTTCATAAGACTTGCCTTCTAAGCCTGAAATCATCCTTGGTGCACGTCTTTGAACATTCTAGATTAAATTTTTGTCCTTTTCAAGTTTCGGTGACCACACAGCGTTTCCAAACTCTAGGTTTGGACGCACGACAGAGGTGAACAACAGCTTCATCATTTCAATATCTAGGTACTCGTAGGAGCGTCTGATCAGCCCAAGCAGTTTATTGGATGTATTAACTTGCGTTTCAATATGCCTATAAAATTTTAGCTCCTTGTCGACACAAACTCCAAGATCTTTTTCCACGCAAGACTTCTCAATCATAACCCTCTCGTTGCAACGTTGCAACCGTGTCTTCTCATGCTGTAAGCTTGCTGTTCATTGTTCTTGCCGAGGTGAAGTACTTTACACTTGTCAGCATTAAAACGCAGCTGCCACGCATCTGGCCAGTCAACTAAACTATCAAGACCATTTTGCAGTTGCATTTTATTTGACGCTCCCTTAACTGTATTATAAACTTTTGTGTCATTGGCATACATGGAGCACACGCTGACTTTGCTTTTGGTAGATCGTTAATAAAAGCGACGTTCATAGCAGGCCCAAGAATGCTTCCTTAATTGCGGTACGCCACTGTGCACAGTTGCCCAGTCTGATACGGTTCCGTTAATACGATTCCGATACGTTGTCTTCTGCCTACTGCCTACTAGGAAATCCCTGATCGATTGAAGTACATTTCCATCTATTCGCAGAGAAATCACTTTACGCAACAGCCGCTCATGCGGAACACTATCAAATGACTTAAATCGAGGTACATACATAAATATGTTGAAATTGTGAATTGCGATTGTATATGAATGGATTCTTTTACCTCCAACTCTCTCAATATTAGATCATATAACTTCTTAAAAAAGTGAGAAGCGCCACGAAACACAAGTGGAGCAGGGAAATTTAACGCTCTGAGGCTGCCTCTTGCGTCGCTATCTTATTTGGTAAGCGTTTATAACTCAATACCGCATGATTGATATGTTTATCAAAACCCTTCAGGATAGTGGTTGAATTTTAGGTGAAATTATGATGCTCTGTTGATTGACTTGTAGTTAAGTGTAGAAATTGTTGCGTTCATTTTAACATAGAATCACGCTGAACTACCGAGTGATTGATGACGAGGTGCGAATGTGATTGAGTCCAGTGATGACAATAATTTAATTGCGTACGAATTTTGTTGATGAATAATTATCGGAATAAGCTGAATGAGCGAGAATGAGCTCGGGTATCAGCAGCGTGAGATATAACGGTGGGATTTTATAACATATATGTTATAATGTTCGACCAGGTCACAACGACCTATATCCGAGCTGCTTTTAGAAACGGCTTTATATTTCTCTAATAGAAATCGAATAGCGTCGGCCTTGTCAGGGTTCAAATGGCTTAGATCAGGAGGCGCAGCTAGCGGTTTTTCGCTCAATAGTACGTTCTCACCCTCGAAATTTTCGTGCAACGGACTTACCGTTGTTATTCGTTCATTTGGTGCCAGCTGAATATCGGATGGCATCGCATTAATTATCTCTATCGGGATTTCTCCCTTAGATACAGTCGCTACGATATTTGGCACTCGCACGCCCCCTAACGTTCGCGATCTTTCTTCTACTAGCACCGTGGTTCCGTCCTGGTATGTATGGCACTCCTACGTTTACTACCGTCACTGCGTTGGCGCTGAGCATGGTTCTCTGTTTAAGGGCCACGAACCTATCATTTGTGTTGCGCACCGCGGTTTTGTCTATCGTGACTGATAAAGTCGTGTCTCCTGCCGATCCGCATTCGATGGCATATCCTACTCCTCCTATCGTTACGATCTGTCTTACCCACTCAAACTCTAGCTTTCTCTACGCGCTGGAGCAGATCTGTTCCTATTAAGATGTCCCCAGGGAAACCCCTAGCATCGCAAACGATCACGTTGTGTCTAAAAACACGCGCGCCAATCTTAAATGGTAGTGTCACCTCGCCCTTGTTATCCAACTTTTCGCCGGTGACAGTGTTTAATGTTACATCGCACTTTTTTATTCGATAACGCCCTGTTGTGGCTAATTCTTCCGCTGCGGTCTCCTTGATTAAAGTAACAATCGATCCCGTGTCTAGGAAAACAAGTTTACTTTCCCTACCAATGTCCATCATTCATAACTAATGGTCTAGTTGGTGCGCTGGATGCTTCAACAGGGCTCGCTTCTAGTTTTTTGAGAAGCTACCGTCTGTTACTTGTTGGTTGCCTCCGCGAAAATATGCTGCCCTAGCCGGCAAGTGGGATCTGCGGGGATACGGTGAGTCGGCGTGAGCTCCCCGCGAATACTGTGTACGCCACCCGCCATTTTGTATGTTTTGCTGCCCTTGACCGCGCGCGCCCGTCTGGCCGCCGTCATTGTTTCCCGTATTATTCGCTGGCCAATTTTCGCTTTGGTAACTGTAACCGGGGCTGCTACGGTAACCACCGCGACCTGCTTGACCTCCCCCTCGACAGTAGCGTTGTACGTGTCCGGTCTTGCCGCACCTAAAGCACATGGGAGCGCCCCGAAATCCTACTTGATTGTTTGCCTCGGGAGTCTCGTTTGTCGCTTGCCTAGCCGCTGGTGTAAAACTTCGCTCGCGCGCCCTAAGCGACTCTTCTTCACTACCGTAGTAATCTGGCTGGTCGTCGTGAAAGTAATGTTCGTTTTCGGGAGCTAACGCCCCTACCGTTTGACGTGACCCGAACGATTTCTCGTAGCCGCAGGCCTTCGTTAAAAGATTTGTATATCCTTGGGCAGCATTCGCCATGAGCAGCGTTTGATATCGTGGAGGGAGTCCATTTGTGAAGATTTTTATCATTAATCCATCGCGCGTATCTGGTTGAGCAAAACTCCGGTACCACGTCCCTGTATTCGGCAAATGACATTTCCAACTTGCGCTCGTATTGTCTCATTGTGTTATATCCAACCCTAGGGGCCACGGCTATAAGCTAAAAAAACTGCGCTGCAACTTCTCCACGCGACAAAATTTCTTCTCGCTTCGAATCACCGACATGTGGAACAGCCTCCCCGATGACATCGCTGGCGCTCCAAGTATGAACGCGTTCAAGAACAGACTAGATGAAGCTATGGAAAAATATATGTTCAGATTTGAAATGTCTAGCTCCTTATCGAACCCGGTGGAAGTCTAGTAGCTACTTCAAACTATCGTCAGTCATGAAAAGATCCGGTCAAATGACACGATTTTAGATCTTCTGTGAACAAGGCACGAAAAGGAAAAGAATCGGCGACAGGCCACATCAGGCCTACACTTCAACGCCGACATCACTATGTTATATTATGTTATGTTATGTGTGACGCACGAAGATTTAGAATAGGGTGCTGCCGCTTTGAAGGCAAAGTGATTACGAGCGAGTCATGGAAACTGACGTGAATTTGAGATGTCGTAGAAATGATAGATTCGATTGAGATATTAAAAACCGAGGTGATGATTTATTTTGCTGAGAAGGATTTTGAATTACGTGAAGTTTGATGAATATTTCTTCGAGAGAGAACTTTCCTTCTTTAGCCTTCGAGAGGAAGGCTGAGATGTTGACATGGTGAGACGCCGTTGATACGGCAGAGATTTGACATGATAATTCCCGCGGTTGATAAGGCTTGATGATTTATGATCGAGTGATGGCTCTAGAAAATGCACACATGGTCGTATTGACTAAATGTTGTAGGTAGGGATAGGTTTTTATTTTTCTTTAGATTTAGTTCACTAAGCTGCTGGCATGAATTCTTAAATTAGAGATACGCAGGAGACTTTGTTCTCGCTGCAACCCCGTAATTGTTGAAACTCACAGTGCATTAGCGCTGCGGTAACTGTGTTGTAACTGCCGATGTTTAGAGTGACACGATGCATGCAAAGAAAAAGGTGATAAATATATGTAAGAAGTGAATGGGGAATTGAGAATTGTTTGAGTTGTATGGATGATTTTTGTCTGTGCGAAGACTATTTAATGGAAACGTAGCGGTGTCGTGTCTTGAGTTGATATGAATAATTCTTGTTTTAGGTGGATATTTTGTAGGATGCTGATTTTCATGTGTTCAAGGGAATTACGGACCGTAAGATATTAGGCTAACGATATATATGTTGGAATAACGATCGTTTACTGAGAAAGTCAAGAAATGATTCATGCGTGCGAGTGATGGACACAAGTAATTTAATTTTCTCAATTTATTATACTGTAAGTTTGTTAGTTTTTTAACATTCAAAAATAGCAACTAGGATGGAAAAAATTCTCTAGCCTTTATTTAGGGAAGTTGAATGGGTATGAATAAAGCGTATATAATTCTAACTATTTCATACTATAATATTGAAAATAGCTATGTTGCGAAGTGGAAGTTAGAGACTTAGAATGAAGGTGTTAAGAAGGCTTTTGGAATTTGGGTTGAACTGTGTAAAGCTTGTATAAGATGCTGTTGTTCTCGAGACCGAGGTTTTTGTTTGTAGTTTGGAATGGCGAGGGCTTCAAAGGGCTTACCCTTGCGGTTTCGAAACTGTCGCGACGTACGTCACTTCGAGGGAATAGGCTTAATTAACTGTGGGCGACACCAGCGTTATAAAGGAACTTGAACTTGGCACCAAAGGTGGGTTCTACTGTGATGACCGTCACGTCAGTACGGTCTGCAGCTATCTCTGCAAAGGCTTCGGCCGTTGGGCGACTGGTCGCAAAATAACGGCCGCGCGGAATATCGAGTCATTCATACCGCCACAATTCCGATATAGCAATGTCAAAAATCATAAAGCATCGGCCACGACTTCGCCATATACGTACAGACAGTACGGTCAACATCATTGTTACGGCTGCGACACAGCCGTGAGACAACGCGAGATGCCACGAGTTGTCCAACGATTATAACACTGGCAATCATGGAAATTCAAGTACAGATCACTGCGCGGCAATTCTCATCGGTACGGTCACATTCACCATCAGCAGCAGTACGGCAGCGAGTTTGGAGAACATCATCGACTCTGTAGACGAACATCACTATTCCGTAGTACGGTCATCATTAATTCTAGGGTTAGACCGACCGTGCGAGAAATCACTATAGCGCGAGAAGTACGGCTATGAAGAAAGAGCAACTGTGAAAAGTGACGCGCGGCTACAGCTTCGGTACGGCAACTTTACGGCTGTAAACGTCCGCGTGAGGTACGGTCGTTGCGGGAGTCGTACCATTCTACGGCAGCATTCTACGGATGAACGTTTACTGGTAAAAATAGAAGATTTTAGTGATGTTAACTGATAGGTTTTCAATTTTGATTGTGTTCAGATTACTTTTTTTATGTACTATTTATTTTTGTCAACGTAGGACAGGAACTTAAATTTCCCAATTAATATGAAATGTACCAGTGTTGCATTGCAACCCTCTCGCTGTACTATTTCTGCGGTGAACCTATTCATAAGAGAACTTACATACGAGCAAGCTTGTAAGCCACTTCGGCGCCAACCTGACAGAATTAAAGCAATTGCCGATACAGCGATAAAATCCATAATGTACGGTAAAAATCGATAAAGTAAATTTCCATAAAGCCATAAGAAATATTTCATGCGTAATTCAGGCTTATTTACCTGAGGAGACAGCCTGCAGGCGAAACCCTGCAGGCTGTCTCCTGAGGTACAGAGAAGGAACCCTGCAATCTGCCTCCTGTGTTTTGATACAAGGGCGTAATGCCTGACTGGTGTTCATGATCGTTCACGGAAATCTGTGCGCGTAGAATTCAACGCCTTTTTTGATGAAATTTATATCACCTACCTGCTAGTTTAGATTGGTAGTTCATTTTCCTCTTGCTGCGCACATCGTTGTTAGCACTCCGCTTGCTACAATAATAATTATTTTTGCTTTTGATTTGCCCAGATGCATGCCAACAAAACTGAAAATTTTTTTGTACAATTCAAGGTTTTTTTCTGGGAGAGTTATTTACGATTATGGTACGTATGTTGAGTTGTAGACGCTGAGAAAATACTTCTAAGCCTACTGGATACCGTGTCGATTAAGGACATCAAGTGATGCTGCTGACACCAAGTGGTTCTACGGCCATCAAGTGATGGCACGGTCATCAATTAAGTGATGGCATGAACAAAGAACATCAAGTAATGGCTAATTGCCAGTAATGAGGGGGCACAATGGTAACACATTTACTTTGTTACTCATTTTTCCGATTGCATTTGAGCGATGAGCCCCTCAATGTTGAATGGTTTCCCTGTTGCTTTGTTAGACCATAACTTACTCAAAGACAAATCAAGAGATATATTTTTGGTGTATTCAATTTTATTTTCAACTCTTCTGTAAAAATATAAACCTTTCAAGGGGAATTGAGAAGTTTGTGGTTTACGTGGTATCATGAAGTTTTGGAAATGCGTAAAAGTACGCCAGAAGTAATCGTTCTAAAAAATTTAAAGCTAGATCCTCTTTTTCTTCTACGTATTAAAATGACAATTTAGGTAATTTTATGACACGGAAATGCCTAATTGTTATCACAAATGATATAATTATAGGTTGCATGTGATGATTATCTCGTGCGTGCTGCAGGAGATGCTGGCGTTGGGTCTGTGCAACTTCACAGGCTCGTTCTTCCAGAGCATCCCGACGACAGGCTCCTTCTCCCGCACCGCCGTCAACGCCACCAGCGGCGCCAAGACGCAGGCCAGCGGCCTCACTACGGGACTGTTGGTTATTCTTGCTCTGCTCTTCCTCACGCCTGCCTTCAAGTGAGTCTCTTCCTCACGCCTTCAAGGCAGTCTTTTCTTCCCGCCTGCCTTCAAGTGAGTCTTCCTCACGCCTGCCTTCAAATGAGTCTCTTCCTCCCTCCTGCCTTCAAGTGAGTCTCTTCCTCACGCCTGCCTTCAAGTGAGTCTCTTCCTCCCGCCTGCCTTCAAGTGAGTCTTTTCCTCCCGCCTGCCTTCAAGTGAGTCTCTTCCTCCCGCCTGCCTTCAAGTGAGTCTCTTCCTCCCGCCTGCCTTCAAGTGAGTCTCTTCCTACCGCCTGCCTTCAAGTGAGTCTCTTCCTCTCGCTGCCTTCAAGTGAGTCTCTTCCTCCCGCCTGCCTTCAAGTGAGTCTCATCCTCCCGCCTGCATTCAAGTGAGTCTCTTCCTCCTGCCTGCCTTCAAGTGAGTCTCATCCTCCCACCTGCCTTCGAGTGAGTCTCTTCCTCTCGCTGCCTTCAAGTGAGTCTCTTGCTCTCGCCTGCCTTCAAGTAAGTCTCTTTTACCTACATCACTTGTTTAGAAGAGCTGTGGGCTAAATATTTCTAATTCTCCTTATCGTACCTTTAAGGTGCTGTTGACTAAATTTTATGCATGGTTTACTGTAGGTTTACAAATTTCAACTGGAAATGAACTTGCAGCCTTGCGTTTTTTCTCCTTAAAATGAATGTTGATATCATTACTGCCATGTGACCGACCGCGCTGTAATTAATTTAATTCTCGAAATGGGTGAATTAATTTCTCGTGAAGTAATTTCTCGAAATGGGTGAATTTTTCCAGATACATACCGAAGGCGTCACTCTCGGCTGTGATCATTTGTGCTGTGATATTCATGATAGAATACCATGACGTCTTGCCCATCTGGAGGACGTACAAACTCGACCAGGTACGGTACTCTCTCAGGGAGTAGTTCAGTTTTCAGCTCATTTTTTCTTGTTTAGTAAAGGAAGTCATGAACATCAATTACTGCCGTATTATCGGTAGAAATCTGACATGAACTATGATGTTAGAGATCATCAGGCAAATAGGCGTTGAATTTTAAATACAAGAGCTTTGTATTACGTTTATTTTATGTACAATTTAGTATAGACTAAAGTCTCTTTGTTTTGGACGGACTATGAAATTGTACCGGTTTCCCTATAGCATTAATTTCGAAAGTTTATTAAATTCGTTTTAGGGCTTGATCATTGACATTTTTATCTTATACTTTCACCATCATGCATGTAATCAAATGGAAAATTATCACAAGCATGATCCCTGGCTTGTTAGAATTTCTCCTGAACACTGAATAGGAGCTAAAAACATCACGACTGAAGTCCAGAGTTTCAGCCACATGAGGGCATGTTATTATTGTTGTACGTTGCAACCGTCACGCTCGCCGGAGGGGGAGGCTCTGGTGGTGGCCGGGGGAAAGGCACCGGGAGAGTGGGGAGATGGGCGAAGGCAGGGAGGGTGGCCAGGAATGCCGCTACATCCACGGGGCTGTCCCACAGTGAGGAAACGCTGAGAGACGTGGGGAAGGCGGGGCAGGCGAAAAGATGCTGGACGGTCTGGAGGGGATCCTCGCACTCCGGGCAGGCGGAGCTAGGGGGAGCGTCCGATCCTAGCGGAGTAGGACGCCAGGGAGCTATAGTAAATAGTGTCCCGAGCGGAGCTGGGATAACACCGAGCGGTAGGGGCGAGGGAGTGAGGCCTCCACTGATGCAATCAGCGGTGGCTGGGCTGCGAAGACAGCATTTATGGCGTCAGTCGCCGCCAGGCGGGAGGCGATCTCCCTGCGGAGGCACCGGCGGGCATGATACCATTAGCCAAGAATGGTTTGACCAGGTGGCCGAACCTCGACTGGATGGAGGTTTTCATGAGGCGGTCCCCGATGGGAGCAGAAGCGATGTGGAATGAGGTATGGGAGGGCTGGAGGGCGCTGGCGAGGAACTGGGCACAGGCCAGGTCTAGGTGAGCGGATAATGGGAGGACGCCGGTCTCCTGGTGAAGATGAGCGATCGGGGCCATTCTGAGGCAGCCAGTGGCTAATCTCAGTGCACTGTTTTCTATGGTTTGAAGGCTAGAAATTGCTGTGCGTGAGGCGACAGGGTACCAGGTGGGGGCCGCGTAGTTGAGGATTGGGCGCGTGATGGTTCGGTAGGTGGCAATAATGTCCTCCTTAGAGAAGCTCCAGTTGGTGCCGGCAAGGGCTTTTAGAATGCGAAGGGATCCCGTTGCCTTCATGGCTGTGGCTCTGAGTGAGGGGAGAACGTGAAATGCGTATCCCAGGTGACTCCTAGGATTTTGGGGGTTTTATTCAAGGGTATGATGCCGTTGCATATGGTGGCAACAGGGTGGGATCGAGATTAGTGGGTGTCTGGGGTGAAGAGCGTGATCGAGGACTTGCCAGGAGCCACGCCCAGTTTCTTGGCAGCCGACCAATCCGAAACGTTCCGAAGGAGCACGGCGAACTTAGCCTCAGCAGCGTCGAGCCTCGGGGACGGCACGAAGATGGTAAGGTCGTCCGCATATGAGGCAATGTTGGGGGTCGGCACTGGGATATCGGAGATGAAGTAGTTATAGAGGACCAGCGAGATGACAGAGCCTTGGGGCACTCCCGAGTGAATAGCTCTGAAAGGCGATTGTGTTCTGAGGTAGAGGCAGGATGTCTGCCTGCCTCTAAGGTAGCAGCACAGCCATCGGACCAGGTTATGATGTAGGTCCGGTGCCGCGATCATGCTCAGAAGGAGAGGGTGATCGACACTGTCGAAAGCCTCGAGAGGTCGACTGCAGCGGCGACTGTGCGGGCTGGAGGGCGCCGAGAGTTAAAACCCGTCATGATATGGTGCGCGAGCAGGAGGAGGACGGTGACTGTGGAGTGTCCCGATTTGAAATCATGTTTCGAGGGGACGTTGGTGAGGGATCCTAAGATGTAAGGGAGTACAAGACGCTCTAGGATCTTGGCTGCAGGGCAGAGGAGGGAGATAGGGCGGTAAGAGGAGCCCTGGTTTCCGGGTTTGCCCGGTTTGAGGATTGGAAAAATTATTGAATTTTTCCAAATGAATGGGTTAGAGGCTGTGGAGACGGAGATGTTAAAGATACGGGTAAGGAACTGGAGGCCACGGGGGCCGAGGTGCTTAAGATGAGGACCGTGAGGCCGTCAGGACCCCGAGCGGAAGAGTTGTTGGCGGCTGCAATGGCGAGCTTCACCATGTCGGGGTGAAAAGGGAGAAGTCCTTGTCGAGGGGATGTTTGGCCCGGATTCGACGTATGAGGCGGCGGGTGGAGGGGCTCTGAGATTGAGCGATTGAAGTGAAAAGCTTGCAGAAGGCGGAGGAGATCTTGCGCTGGGAGGAGAAGGAATTCAGACCTAATTGGATTGATTGATTAGGGGTAGGCGGTTACGCTTTCCGGCTAGGAAACGGAGAAGATTCCAATGTTTAGATTGATTGGTACGTCTGCTGCACGACGCAAGATGCGTTTGCCAGGTGTCCCTGGCGTGGGCCTGCATGGAGATACCGATTTCCAGGTTGAGTTCTGGGAGCCGGGGGTCGGTTGGGTTGCGCGCCCTGATGTCATCCCGTTGCTCGATGAGCAACCGGATGCCAGGGTTTACTGAAGGCGAGAAGTCCTTCCGGAATCCGGCAGGGATATGCTGTCTGGCAGCAGTCGTCAGAACTTTTCTCAAGGTCGACTCTTCGCCTCACAAGGTGGGGGGAGGGACCATCTCGAGAGCCGCTTCGATGGCTGCCATGCAGGCGGGCCAGTCAGATTTTTTAAAGTTGACCTAGGAGTGGGCGGCCCGAAGGGTCAGGGAGTCGGCAGAGGTAGGGAGATGGATCAGGATGGGCAGGTGGTCCGAGTTGAGGGCGACTTGAGAAGTCCAAGAGGTGCTGAGGAGTAAATGACCGCTGATGATGGCGAGGTCTGGAGAGGAGGGCGGGTATGGGAGTCTTCATTGAGGTAGGCGAGGGAGGAACCGGCGACGAGGTCGCACTCTCGGCAACGAGGTCGCACATGAGGGCATCGGCAACGAGGTCGCGGAACCGGCGACGATGTCGCACATGAGGGCATCGTCAAATCAGGTCAAACGCACTCTCGCCTCATTGCCTGTGTTATGAACAAACTTCTTCATGTGGCCGTTTAATGTACGTCCTAGGTGAAAAATTGTTCAGTTAAACGCGTTATCGTGACCTGATTTATCAACCGTTTCTCGGACAAGACCGCTTGTTGCGTGTGACGTATGTGAACTTATTGAAATCTCAGTTATTGCTCAAATCGATGCCTTCATATCATTAGGCTTCTAGCAGGACATCGCTATGAATGCTTATATTGCTCGTGTTGCTTTTGAACAGATTCCCTTGTGGGCGACATTCTTGCTGTGCGTGTTCTGGGCGCTGGAGTGGGGCATCCTGGTGGGCGTTCTAGTGAACATCTTTTTGCTGCTTTACCTGCAGGCGACGCCCGACGTCGTCGTCACTTTAAGGGAGGTGAGAACAAACGCGCTCAGCTTCTTCAATCAATGCCGAATGTACAGTGCTGGTACGCATCAAAAGTCAGGTACTTTTTTCTCCTCCCGTCTGCCTTTCTGTCTATCATGAATATAACAGCACAAAGGATCTCAGCGGGGAGTGACGCCTGCGGTTTGTATTTGAAAAATGCACCTGTTTTCAGAAATCAGCAATTTGATGCGTTAACGTCGCACATCAGGTCAAACCAAACAAACACAAAGCCAGGAATGGTTTATCCTGAACAAATAATGAATCAATATTCAGTTCTAGCGGAAGCACGTTTTTCTGTATTAAGGTGGACTTTTGCCCTACGTTCTCTCTTACCTTCTCTCCTCCTTTTACGAACAAATGAGACGTGGGAGTTATGAGCCAAGTTCAACTCTTAACTGAATGATTAAATATTGTTGCTCAATTCCCAGTTCACTCACAGCTTTGGCCCTGGGTTTATCTCGTCGTGATGTGTTTCTTGTTGGAGGTTTATCTCATCGTGATGTCTCCTTTCCTTACAGTTGAGGCGGATTTTTCCCATCACGTAGTCGCAGAGAATTTTTATTGTAATCTGTTTTTCCCTACACGTCTGCTGTTTGAGGTAGTTTCGCCATAATAATTGCGCATGTTGCCTGATATACACTGCACCTGCTACCAATACTTATGTTACTGTGGCAGACGTCGGAGGGGGGCAGCTCGGGCCTGGTGGTGGTGCAGCCCACGTTGGGCCTGATGTTCCCGAGCGCTGAGCGCGTGAAGCGCCTGGTGTCGGAGGGCGGCTTGCAGCACCTGCCGCTGCTGGTGGTGCTCGACTGCACGCACCTTTCCGTCGTCGACTACACCGGCTCGCTGGTCAGTGTCACGGCACCTCACTGTCTCGCGCCATGCAATTTTTTTTGAGGTTATAGATCTGGTCTTGCGGAAACTCATTGCTGCATTAAGCTTCCCTGTTGCAGCTGTGGACTACTAAGATTTACTTCTGTGGCGCGGGATGCTGCATCCGAAGAACGAAGGTAAACATTTGATTGGTCAACACTTACTCGGGGAATTTCGTTTACTAGTGCGGGATTCGTAAATATTCAGGAATATTTACTTGATTTGACTTATATGATAGTCTGCTGCACACATATTTATTTCTAAATTGTAAATTGAAGCTTGCTCACTAATTACATACCTATAGAAAGTTTTTTTTGTGATCTAATATTTTTATTTTGGGAATTTGGAATATTTAACAAGTGAAATTGGCCATGACAGAATTTTTAACGTCTCTACCGTTCTCAACTGCACCATCAGCGTATTTTATTCATTTTTCGTACCTTATATATATAAGGGGTGCAAGGTGGCCCAGTGGTTACAGTTCAGAGTACCAAGATTGGCGCAGAGAGGCGTGGGTACCATCCCAGCTCTGTGCGCCAGTTTCTGGTCAGAATCGGCAAGGAGGCCGGGCGGTTAAGTACGGCAGAATTGTAGCAGTGAGTTGCGAGTTAGACTGAAAAATGCTGTGAATGTTCTGCGATGTTAAGAATCGGCGACAGGCCTACGGCCTACTAAACGCTGAAACCGCTATTATTGTATGTCTAACCATTGATGGTATAAAGACACAACGCAATTATAACTATTTGTAATTAATTTAATTATAAAACCACGGGAAGTTCTTGGAATGCGCCAAAGATATCAGACCCGAAATTCAATTGCAGACGATATATCTATAAAGTATTGCAATGTACTGGTCATTATTGTAAGTAGATAATTATTTCAATATTTCCAATTTTGAACGGCACAGAAATGAACACGGCAATATCTCAATGCTTACCTCAAAACCTAACTTATAATACAGTAAGAGAAGACAAGTGCAATTAACCGGGTAGGCCGCACGTATCCATCCGGGGTAAGACGGACGGGTATTGGAATTATACTGAGAGTGATACGACCACTCACAAGGCTTAAGAGTCTTACTTCTGAATTATAATCAGTATGCGCAGAATATGATTCAAGTTAGTTCAACGATGAATATAGCAGTTAAACACCTTCTAAAAAAATGTCGCTAGTAGGTGTTTAGGCATGGTTGAACTAATATAAGGTCGAACCACGGCGATAACGATTTTTCGCCGTTCTGCGCATCGCTAGAGTGACGTCACTGTAGGCACAAAATGTAAATAGTGCTGATCAATACATTGTTTTTATGTCATCTTTGAAAGCATTAAAAAAATGACCTCATCAAAACGCCCCAAGAAAATTCATTTTCTGCATGCAGCTAGTTTTATTTTAGGCAAAACCGGTGTTACAAATCAGTTTAACGTCACGAGCTGACGTCACAATAGCCAAGGTGACGTCACAGTTGGAATAACAAGTTACGTCCGCGAGGCGCAGCTGCACGTGGGAAAACCTTGTATTAGTTCAACCTTGAAAAAAATTTACCTCATTAAAATGGCCCAAAAATATTTACCTACTGCTACTAGTCTTATTTTAAGCAAAACAGGTGTTACAAATCAGTTTGAATCACACGGTGACGTCACAACGACCATGGTGACGTCACGGGTGGAATAACAAATGACATCTGCAAGGCGCTGCTGCTCTTTGGTCAACCTTGTAGCCTATTAGTTCAACCATGGTGTTTAGGAGCGGCCTAACGGCCCTCTGGCGACGATTTAATGAAGTTTGAGTTAATAAATTAAGGTCAGCCCAACCTCAAGAAGGTTAGTATGAGAGACAATGAACGCAATTATAGGAAACTTGAGACGAGATAGAGAGCCGAGTTTTGACATCTTAACAGATGGAATTGGAAGCTGGTTCACTCATCAGGCAAGAGCCCTACGGCAAGCCGTGTAGCAAAAATAAATACGTCCAAACGCAATAATTTGGTGTGTCAGACCAAGAGGTGAAATTACATGCATTAACTAATTAATAAAGGCCCTTCACATGCGTGAATTTAATGGTGTTAGCGTAAAGCTATCACGAATGAGACAAGGGCGACGACACCAAAGCTTTCCGTGTCACCAACTTCCGAGCTCTCGAATATCGCATTCTGTTCGACATTGTTTCATTTACCTAACGTACACTTGATCTTCTAAGTCCCTACTTTATTAAGATAGAAAAGAATTTCTTATAATGGCGGCACGATTCAACGACTGTCAGACATCACCATTGAATATGAGTTAAACTGTTCAAGATATAGTAGATTTGCCTTACAAAAGGTTTATTACTTAACTTCAAAGTGAACAATTGAATGCCAGAGAAAAAAAATTATTTCTCGATGCTATTTTTTCAGTCTTCACTTGCGCTAAACGGTCTGCGCATTTTTTTGAACTTGTTCGTTTTTCTTCTGTCAAAAGTTAACTGGAGTTTCATGTCCTCAGGCAATCAAGAATCTGTGCAAGGAGTTCAGCGCTCGCAGTCAGAAGATCGCCTTCGCGAACATGCGAGGTCACGTGAGGACGTCCCTGCTGGCGCTCATCCCAAACCTGGAGGAGATCTCGCTGCCCGCTGACCCCCCGACGCAAGTCATCGTACAAGACACGCCCTCCGTCGGTAACTCGCCCCAGCTACTCCTCAGCCACGAGCACGGTGAGTGGTGCCGCAATCATGCATGCAGTTAGCCATACTGATTGCATGCAAGCTGTTGGAAAGCTCCTTCAACGCTTGGTGCTCTGTAGTATAAATAGCTTATTGATCAGGCTTCAGGAAGCATCGGAGAGAACTGATGAAATGAACTGAATTATCTGGTGCTCTTCTTAAAAGCATCCTGAATGGTGGCCTCACCCTCTCTCAGATCTTCCACTTAAGTCTTGTATTGATCTCAAAATGTGCACGGACCTCCGGTCTCGTTGGGAGTTTTGTTTTCCATGTAAGGTATATCTATAAAAATTATGTTCATGTCGCTCTCTGTGCCAAAGTTTTCGTTGTTTCTGGATCAGTCTTTGATCAGCCACATTCCCAACTCAGAAACATCACAGCATTAACTTAACTGGTTTTGCCGAAGGTATATCATATGGAGCATGGAGCAATTATTAGTCCACTCATTTGCGTTGGTTTCAGATCTCTGTCTCTCCTGTCTCCTGATGTTATGTTTGGAATCTTCTACCGAATGTAACATTTCTTAAGTGAAGTGTGTTATTGCTTTCCTTCGTATGTATGATCCCTCGACCGACATGCAGGGCCACTATTGGCTGACGCTGCCCTCTGCTCCCATCTAAACTGTGCTGCTTGCTGGAATGTTCCTCTGCGTGGGACAATTGTCTGGGAATTCTTACTGAAGTTGATCTTTGCTGTATAACCATCTGAATTGCTGATTTTGTACACTTAAGATAGAGGTTTGCTTAAAGCAAGCCTCTAACTTGACAATGGGTTACGTCGTCAGCGGTTGCCTACACTATTCGAAAAAAGCCGTGAAAAAACAGTCTCACCGGCGTACTGGTAACCGGCCGCCCTGTGAAAAGAAACCGTTTTGCATTTTTTCAAATGTTTTTTTACAGGTCTCTAGTGTTAAATTGGAATAAAAACGGCCACACGGTGCTAAATTTCACGTGCTGGCCGGTCCCTGAAACGCCGGTAATACCGTTTAACGGCGTTTTTTCGAACTATGTAGCCCACTAGATGTTCTTACTAAACTTGACCTGAGCATTGGTCTCTCTTCCTCTTGGATCGTTTCCGTCTGAAAGTTGATATAATTTTATAGTTTTTAAATTCATGCCTCCTCTGAGGCGCGATTCTGATTTTCTGTTTGCAGTTTGTCATCCAACTTGTGTATCTAATTTTTCTTTGCTGCAAACTACGTATGCATACTATGGGGATATTTTCGGATCGCCCGCCTTCCAGGTTGATTCAATTTTTATAATTTTTCCGAACAATTTTATTGATTAGTATTGCTTTCGATAAACGAATTGCTCGTTGATCAAAAGTTCGATTGCTCCCTCGCAGCGACGCTCCCTCGCAACCACTAATTCTTTATTATTTTTTGAATTGCCATTCTCGGAAACTTATCGCCCTCATCATTTAAAAATGAGGGTTAATTTCATTATTATTATCACTGATATTATTGTTATACGAAGCTTTATCATGGCGTCTGGTTCAAACGAACTTCGAGGGCACGTCACACATAAGATTAATAGCAAGCAACAAAAAAATAGACACAAGAAATGATGGAAACAAATTAAATGACTGAGCATTAGATTCATAGGCTCTACGAAATAGTGTCATATGCGGCCGACAGGTCGAGTACAACTAGTGCCGCAATGTCGCCACGGTCTACTGCGTGCAGAATGTCTGGAAGTACCTACAGTATACAGCGGTTTCCGTCGAGTAGAGATTACGGTATGCAGACAGGAGGCGAGGCATGAGAACGGACTGCTGTAGATGGTTGTTCAGCTGTCGCGCCACAACGCGTTCCAGGAGTTTCGACAAAATCGACAGGTTGGAGATGGGTCGATATGATTTGGAATCGGAAGCGTCAATGTCTGTTTTCTAATAGAGGCGTCATGTAAGCTGATTTGAAGTTCATCGAAACAACACCGTCAGTGAGGCAGCGGTTGAAAAGTCTGACCAGAAAAGGTGGTAGGGTTGCCGCATCCCCCAAAAGTATCAACGTCGACAGCGGATCGCTGGCACACTGCTTGTTGGGCAGCGCACACATTGCAGCGATGACGTCGTCAGCTGTGGCACGAGTGAATTTTTGGAACACGCAATCGCATGGTTACGGGGCAAAATGTTGTGCCGGCGGAACATTAGCCGACGTTGCTCGCTCAGCAGAAATTTTTTCTTCGAATACCGCATGGAATTCCTCCTCGCTTACGTCACCCGAAGCCTCTGTATGACATGTTCTCATGAGTTTACCTAGCAAACGCCACAGCGTTCGAGGAGCGCTTTGTTGCGCGTCGACTTTCTGACGCCAAAACTCTCTCTTTTAGAAGACTTTCTCTCCAAAGACTCTCTTTTAGAACGAAAGTCGGCATAATTGCGACGCGCATCTTGCCAGGTATAGGCCACGTACAGCAGCGGCAGCAGCAGGATTGCTGCGTATGTTTGCCCGGTAGACAGCCCACTGAAACAGATGAATCCTCTGCTTCAAGACTCTACATTCATCATCGAACCATGGGTCGGAGACTCGTTGGGGTACCCGAACTGTGCGTGCATGAATGAGGTCATCGAGTGCACGGGTCATCTCGGTGTTATAGAGTTACATGAGGTCGTTGACTGATAGTGCCAACCATGAGTCGGGAAGACTGCAGCTTTTCGCTAAGATTTCGCTGTCGAGATCGCGTTTCGGACGACAGGTAATGGTCTTGTACGCTGGCACCGCACACATGGCACCGGAAGTAGTTGATGGTCGGATATTGCGATCCCGATTATGCCGACTGGCAGACTCTGATGGTCAGCACGCGTGATGACAACTTCCAGCCGACCAGCAGTCCGCCGCCCATGTCGTGCGTCGGAAAGGTCACGTGACAAACCATGCCGAAGGTCGTTCAGCCGATGGGTCATCGATGCGATCTAGTCGAACGTTCAAATCGTTGGAGATAAGGACATGTTCGGCAAAGTCACAACTCTGTTGAAGACGAAAAATTCACAACTCTCAATTCGAAGAAAAAATCGCGCGACACAGCAACCGATCAAGGACGGTAAATGGTGACTGCAACGTCCGTAAACGAGGCGCAGGTGACCCTAGCACATTGCAGCTCAAAAGTGGTGGGTCGGACGCCGACGTTAAGAACATCAAGGTACACGCCCCCGCTGGCGACGATAGCTACTCTACCGTAATTTGTCGCCAGGGTGTGGGGTTGCATGCGGGGAAGAGCGCGCTCGACTACTTTGAATCCTTCAGCGCGAAGACGCGCGATGCAAGCCGAGTCAGCGTCGTGCCAGGTCTCGGTCAGGAAGACGACATCTAGTGAGTGCGTGCGACAAATGTGAAGAAACTCATCAACCTTGTTATTCTGCGAACGGACGTTGAGGTAGCCGAACGATAACCGGCGACACGGCTGCTCAGAGTGGCGATCAACACGGACGCTAAAGCAGGTTTTTGGAACTACATGCAGACAGGTTGGAGATGGTTGGATGGATGTGCGCCGCACAGGGTGCGGCGCGGGAACTTACTTATTTGAATTGCGCGCCACGTGGCGGCCATTAGTCCTAGGAAGGTGGCGCCATGCGCAATATGGTGCGCGGGCTATGAAGTTTTTCGTCCACTCAGTTCAGTTGCGACCATGCAGTGGTCGAGAGAGGAGCGCGCGTTCGCAGTCTCTGTGTCTGACAAAATGTATTGAACAGCATGGAGGTCACCTACAAGATGTAATATTCAAGAATTAAACTTGTAAGTAAACCCAACGAAACTTTAAATGTAGCTCTTTGTAAAAAAGAAAGAATTAAAACGCTATCTTTAATACTTTTTACTTTGTGATTTTTTTAAAAGAGTAAGTTCCCACGCCGCACCCTGTATAACGGGTCGACATAGGCCGATTCTCAGCAGCAGCATTCGCAGACGTTGAGTTAGTTGCAAATGATTTTCATCGTAGCAACGGCCCATTACCAGTGATAACGAACACACCGTTGTCGCGCACTGTTCGATAGGTGGCAGCTGGACGCCTATTTCGGCTAGCACAGCATCCACGATAAGACATGCGAGCTTTGCGAGGCGTGGGGGACGTCGCGATGAGCAATTCTATTTTATCAGAGACGGATAGGTCAAAGGCTGCAGAAGCGGACCGCAGCCCGAGCAGTCGCTTAGCCGAGTAAGCTAATGTCCCCATGGACAGCCGCCAGATTCAGATGGGTCATATAAACAAAGAAAACAAAGAAGGAAGCCTACCAGCGTTATTTACAGACTCGTAGCGATGCTGACTATAACTTATACACAAGAACTCGAAATCAAGCTAAAGAACGCCGTCGCACCGCAGTAAAAACCCTCAAAAAACAAATTGCTAAAAATGCAAAAAAGAATACGAAAGCCTTCTTTTTGTGCGCTAGCTCGAAGTGCAAGATGAAGTACGGTATTTTTGATTTGAAAGTAGATCAACGCAAGATATCCTCTGATGAGGGCAAAGCTAACGTTCTTACTCACTTTTTCAGTAGCGTATTTACTGAAGAGGACTTGAACAGTATTCCAGCTATTGAGGAGCGCCCAGTCGACTCTAAATTAACAAGTTTTGAAATACAAGAAGAAGAGGTTCTCAAGCGCCTTATCGCTGTAAATCCAAACAAGTCATGTGGACCAGCCGGCTTCCACCCCAGATTACTCAAAGAGTTAGCAACTGTCCTAGCCGGCCCTTTGACGTCATTTTTTCGAAAAACTTTGAACGCAGGGATCTTGCCGGCTGACTGGAAAGAAGCTCAAGTGACACCATTATTCAAAAAAGGTGACAAAAGCTGCCCCGGGCAACTATCGCCCTGTCAGTTTGACAAGTGTCGTTTGCAAGGTAATGGAATCTGTTGTGAGGGATCAATTGATAGATCATTTGACTGCTAATAATCTCCTATCGGACTGTCAACATGGCTTTATTGCCGGGAGATCCTGCACCACTAACCTCTCATCTACTCTGAACGAATGGACCCGCCTGCTGGACGAAAGGGAGCCAGTATAGATGCAGTGTACCTCGATTTTGCCACGGCATTTGACTGTGTCCCACATGAGCGGCTGTTGCGGAAATTGCTGTCTTTGGGAATTGACAGCAATGTACTCAAATGGATCAGAGATTTTCTAGTATGGAGACGTCAACGTGTCAGTATTAATGGGTCCGTATCAGACTGGGCTCCCAGTGCGCAGCGGCGTGCCATGAAGCGATGAAGCAGTTGTTTGTTGCTGTCGTGCGCCCGAACCTAGAGTTTGGAAACGTCGTGTGTTCTACGAAACTTGAAAAGGACAAAAACTTAATAGAGAGTGTTCAAAGACGTGCAACAAGGATAATTCCGGGCTTGAAAGGCAAGTCCTATGAGGAAAGATTAAAGATTATGAAGCTTCCACGCCTCAGTTATCGACGCCTGCGTGGGGAATTCATTGAAGCATATGTCCGGCAGGTATACTCATGGCTTATACAAGGTCCCAGAAGGACTACTAGAATTTGAAACAAGAACCAACACCAGGGGCCACGGCTATAAACTAAAAAAACTGCGTTGTAACACATCCATGCGACAACATTTCTTCTCGATTCGAGTCACCTACATGTGGAACAGCCTCCCTGATAGCATCGTTGACGCTCCGAGTATGAACGCCTTCAAGAACAAACTAGACGAAGCTATGCAGGAGCATATGTTCAGTCTTAAAATGCCTAGCAAATTACGGACCAGGCAATAAGTCCGGACGAAGCTATGCTGGAGCATATGTTCAGTCTTAAAATGCCTAGCAAATTACGGACCAGGCAATATGTCCAGAAGCTATCTCAATCAATCGTCAGTTATGGAAAGATCGGGTTCCAAAGGCCGGACCCCTTGTGAATCAAGTCACGAAAAATTCGAGAATCGGCAACAGGCCATGGGCCTATTCCTTGAGTGCCGACACTTCTATTCTATTCAATAACAGCTAGTGGCGCTCATCTACAGTCAGCTCACAGCTGAGTATAGCGAACGCCAAAACAAATACTCACAATATGGTCCTGCCAGTCAAAAACACACGTTGACGTAGTTTGCGTCCAGCAAGCTGGGCGAGTAGCAAGAACAGAAAAAAACGGTCCGGCAACAAGCCCGCTCCAGTATTATCCAGACAGTAACGGTTTTTTGTTTTTTGCGTAGTGTCAGGACGGTTCCGTTAGATTTAAGGCAAAGTCATCTCATCTGTAGTCTGCTCAAAGCTGAATATAGTGAACGCTGAAACGAAAAACCACGATATATTTAGTCCCCGTTCAAAAAACAAGCTTACGTCGACGTAGTTTGTGCCAAGCAAGCTACGTGAGCAGCCGTAAGAAACACTCATCTAACCAAGATGGCCGATCAGCCAAGATGGTAGAACAAACAAAGAAGGAGGTAGGTATCGGGACAGTAACGGCCGCCACTCGTCACAGTCAAATTTAAGGGCACAGGATTCAGCGTCGGAAACTCGTCAAAGTGTAGTCCTCGCTCGTAAAAATTCACGTCGTCGTTTTATACACGAGGGAATCAGATATTTGCACCAGAATATGTAGTAAACGGAGCTCAGCAGGGGTGCGTAGCCGTGCACGTCCAAATTTGTGCACCAATCAGTGGAACGCTATTTTCCTGTAGGCTGATTGATCTAATTCAATGGATGTAATCTGTCTGGTGGCTTGCGGCTGATAATGTTGCAGTCAAAAAGTGTTATAGGCTACGTTCTATCATGATAGTCCATTCGAAGCACGGCAGTGGTGGTCTCCGGCAGGCTTACCTTATAAAGGTGTAATTTCATGTAGATTCAATTCAAATGTTCAATGAAAGTTATTAATTGAAATGCTTTCGTGAATTGTATTTTATGCTGGATATCAAATCATGTGTCATGTGAAGACTCCAATGCATTTAATACATAACTAGTGCGCAACTCTGATAATGAGTCTAATTATAATTTATGTTGGCTATTTTCAACCCGAATATGGCATGAGGGAAGTGAGCACGTTTGCTGCGAGTATTCTATTGTATTGCAGCAAACGTGTTTCTATTCTATTTAATGGAGCATGTTCAGACACCGTGCTGGGGAGCTAACCGGTGCCAGAAACTAATCTATAACCACTGATCTTGAAACCTCATGCAATCCATCTTCAAATATTATAATTTTTGCCGATTACTAAGCGTTGTTTCCATTATTGCAGCTTACTTCTCAACGTATATCTGGTGTTTTCAACTCTATATTACTTATTCTGAATTTATATATTAGTGTTCATCCGATGACACAAACGTGTGCGGGCTCAACGGGGTAGGGAAAGGTTGACTTGCTTTTTCTCCCGTTTATTTCATATACTTGAGTGACGTAAGCTGAGTGACTTAAGCTGGAAATAAGATTTAATATTAGTTAATAGGTCGAGATAGACATACATGAAACTTAAACTAAGCAGGGGGTAGACTCATGCACATTGTTTAGACTTTAGATATTGTTTAGTACTGAACGTTATAGGATAGATGAACGTTCTTATTTGACTTCTCGATAACAAAATTACAACTGACATGACAGGAATTGTTTATGTCGGCATGGCCGCGATATTTCATTTGTTACTCACACGAGGTGGTTTTGGCAGGCGAGAAGAAGAGACGGCAAAGTTGACGATGGTTACGTTTAAGATTTCTGAGCTTCAATGTGTTAGGCCAGATATGTTGACGTTTAATTTCTTATGCTTAAATTTGCCAACGCTGAGTTGGGATTCAATTACAGTTATAGCGTCAACGCTAGGTTGGGATTCGATTCCGATAATAGCGCCAACGCGGGGTTGGGCTTGAAATTGCTTACTAGTATGACAGTGCCAACGCTGGGTTGGGTTTTGTTTACGATTAGTGCCAACGACTGCGGTTGGGCTTGGCCTACGATTACGGTACCTGAAATGATCAGATTAGAGATAAACTTTAGAGGACAATATCTTAAAATTACCTAAAATGCTTCAAATTAAAGGAGACTGAAAGAAACGCATGTCGGCACTCGCCAGGAAGCAGTAAGGCTCGATGAGGCTGTAAGCGGAGAACGAAGTAGTATCCCTTAAAATTTTTTCTATGAGATTGTGTCGAAGAAAACAGAACGGCGTCTTTGCTACACATTCGAATGATTATAACGGCAATGGTGAGGCAAATGGCCTAAAAAATATCAAATCAGTACATCCAGTTATGCGACAAATAATCCCTCTTTAAAATAATTACTCCTAGACGAATTCATACTAGAAAATACATATCAACTATGATGTAGGAGCCCATTAGCAAATGTTCGTTATAATGGCCGCCAACAATGTCGGCGGCTATAAGTAACGCAGCGTTACTTACAGTAACGACTATAAAATTCACTCAATGACATGAATTTAGAATCACAATTCTGGAATCATACACAGTGAAGGCAATAGAGGAATACATGGGGACAATAGGCTCAATAAGCTATAACATCATAAAACAAGGTAACACCGGGAGGGCTCGTGGAGCAACACATCATTCGCTCGAGCTCTAGACACGCACTGACGGTGACGCTGCTAGTAACGCGGGAACCGTTTGAGGGGTCGCTGCGTTCACGTGGTGGTAATTTCGTTGATCTTTGCGATATTTTCCACGCACTTGTGGAGTGAACGCCGGTTTATCAACTTTAATTGAAATACTGTTATATATGAATTAGCTATTTATTTATATTATTAGCACTGACCTAAGACATTGCAATATTAAGTAAATCTTTTAGTCATAACCATTTACAAATCTGTAATACAGCGCGTAACCTGGTCTCCAGACCTAGTTCCAGTAAATGAGGAGAACTCCTACTGTGTTTCATTCCCCAATACGAAACACAATTGTAAGACGCTAGCGCAGTCTGGTCTCTGACTTACACGCCTTAGCCGAACCATAGGGCGTTTGGTACAACCAAACGTTTGGCACGAGTCACAGACCTTAAGGGACTCAATACCGCGCTGCTAGCATTCCCACGTCTTACAGCCTCACTGAATGCAAAGTTTTCGTGTGTTATTGATTTTTAATTATTTTATTTTCTCCCTCTTCTAAATCCTCTTCTAAATTCGCGAGAAGGCTTGGTTCTAGTAAAAGCTGACAGACACTTTTTGTACATTCATTAATGCTTCAACGCCTTTGAAAATTACTATCCCAAGACCAGTCATGTCCAAACTTATGCCAATTGAGGAGCTTACGAAAGATAAAAGTAAAATTGGACTACTGTTTGAAGTAAAAGTTAAATATCGGCTTATCGATCGATTAATAATAAACTTTTTAAAATTTCAATAAATTGACTACCGTTTCTATTACATATCATTCATTCCTAATGAAGTAATTCTGGATCAGAGTGAATACCCATCCGCATAGGAACCGTCATAACATAGAGTGTGCTAAATTTACCTCCAATGCAAAGAGGTTCCGAAGTTCTTCAAACTTATCATTAGCCGAATAACTTGTCCAGTTGTTGAAGTTGTAATGCGATACATTTTTCCATATTAATTTCAATAATAAGGATCGTAATCTAGTGAACATACATGCGAACCCAAACGTGTTGATACTATTTATTGTAGAGATCAACCCTCCAGTGATCGCGTGGATTACATATGTATACCATATGTAAGTTATAAATTTGGTCAGTTTTTGCAAGCGACCACTGCAGGATTAAGAGTAATATTGAAGTCTTGTTGGAACTATCTAGTGTAGAGATTAGGAGTAATATGGACGTGTTTTACATAAATAAATTTTAATAAGAATTTTCAATTGGCAGATCGTCCCGGGCAGGCGTGTCAGCCAGATGTCGCTCCTGCCAGAGACATCGTGCAAGACGGCGCGTCTGAGGACGCAGACGCCCGACCTCCTGAGGAGGTTCCTCTGATGGCGAGTTCGGCTGACGATCGACCTGCTATTATCGAGAAGGCTCATCAATGATCGCCTCATTATAACAAACAATAATATATATAAACAAATTATACAAACAAGATATACCTCAAGATGTAGTATATTTTGTTTGGATACTCCTATAGTCATTAATTGGTTTCACGAATTCCACAAATTCTCAGAAGCTTCTACTTGAAACAGTTCCAAGCGCGATTAATCCACCATTTCTGAAAACATTTTGCCCCACACAAAAATTTCATTGAACTTAGGCCTAAAATTGTAGTGTGGGTCATTAATGGCATGTCAACGGTAGGCAAACTTGCATTTGCTTACTCAAGGGCAACAATAAAACATTTTCTTGTTACCAAAGAATACGATTTATAATTGTACTATTATGCTTTAATGAATAAATTAATTATGACTGATTCGGCATTACAAATGCTATTCAGGAATTCTGCGATCGATCAAAAAATTTCGTTTGTAATACTTAATTCTAAATTGTTCTTGAAATCGTCTTGGCTCACATAATGCAACTAGCTTCATGATTGTGTATATGACAAAACGAAATTGATTTTACTCTACCAACGCTCTATAATGGAAAACTATGGAAATTCTGAGCGTTCGAAGAATCAACTTTTCAACGTTTCAAAATTACCTTCATTCTTCCCAACTTTCTCCAATTTTGGCATTGCGAAATGCTGGGTAGGGAGTTTTTTCTTTAACATTTATCGCCTCGCGAACGCGGGACACAAGTCTTCATCCTTAGACTTGACAATAGAGATACTTCTAGACAAAGATCAGTTCTTGGCCCTGTACAAAGAATATCGTAATCGATTCAGTTTAACTAAAATTCCCATTTTGTAAGTTACCGAAAAATGTCGGTCGCACTTGGAGCGACCGCTGATTTCTGCGCTGATGCATATAGGGATATTCCAGGAGCCCGCAGCTGCCTCTATATTTCAGGTTCTCGAGTGGATAATGGTCCTATTCTTCTGTTTGTTGGAGTCGTTTTTAAATTAAGTCAATTGTGCGAGTTTCGTTTTTTTTTGTGGACAAATTTTCATTTATGTTTAACTAAAGGAATGCAGCGTACGTTAGATGGGAGACCAAAAATACCTTCACTGGATGAGGTCTGGCATCCATCATCCGAGGTGATAGAGGTCAAAACTAAGGTTCTAATGACATTCTGAAATGAATTTGTGTTTTAGCAAATTCATTTATTCTATTGCTTTCTCAGTGAAACTGCATAAAAAAGGCAATAATAATAATTTATTTATGTATGTCACGGTTCGTTGTTGGAATTTCACTGCATTTTCTTCGTCCCTAATCATTGTGATTGATGTTCTGACGCTTATCTGTATGAAGAATGGCATTTAAAATCGTATCGTATAAATATTTTCATTTAATTTTGAAAGGAGCACGTCTCCACTGCCACAGTCATTCAGCAAATGTGTCATCATCTCCTTACTTAACGTTCATCGTTCCGGACAAAATCGTAACCTTATATAGCGAAGGACTGGCACAGAACTCCAACAATGCACAGAGCATGAATCTTCTGGGCATTGTTGTTTTTCTGCAATTCAAGTTCTTTTGTATTTGATGGGTTGTTGATCAAATCGAAATATTATTACCTAGTAGTTTCAAAGGAACCTAAATAGATGGCATATTCTTCGAGCGAACATTATTTTCGCCACTTGGGAGACAAAGACTCTTGTTGAAATATTTTTCACTTCAATATTTCGATTCAACTTCAATCCTCGTCTGCTTTTAAAGTTTGAAGGTAACGGGCTCTCTAGTTCACATGTTGAAGTCGAAGTATAGCGCGGCATAAACATTGTCTGAAGCGCTTCAAAAAATATGGTAAAACTTCACAGCTTAGCCATGTGAATGATTCATAACATAAAAACAATCTTGGACAGTTGGACAAACTGTAAAACTGAGTAATTAACACTCTAATGCGGTACGAGTTTGTTTTCGATCATTGAAGAAGTCGTCATTAAGCCATGACATTGTTTTAAAGTAATTTTGCTTCATTTATTCATTTCCTGTTTAACCCGTCATAACGTTTCTCGACAGCTGTTGAGAATCGCTAGTTTCTGTTTCCTCTCAAGAAATGTGTCATCTGAACTCAAATGTATGATGATGAGCTTGAACAGTTCATTAAACGAAAATTTACCTTAGCTTACGAATTGTATGTATGATTTTAACCGTCGATGGGAGCCTTTCTGCTTTTATTAAAGCTAAGCTGATTTCTTGAACGTTGTAGAGCATTTCCATGCGCTGGAAGAGCAGTGAAACTTGAAAATCTCTACGTTAGTTACTGATAATGATTTGAATAATTAGGGAACTTTTATTAATTCTTTATTATATACGAAAATTTTTGTTCTTCGAGGCAGCTTGACAATGCAATATCAAAAAATTCGATTCAACTTGCAACATCGATAAATTCATGGATGAGTTATCAGTTCTACGTTCTCGTGCTGCTTGTACGGTGGTATCAGAAAGTCAATATTCTGCTAATATGAGTGCATGCTATACAAGTGTATTTCTTAACCTTATTTGTTTCATCGTTTGTACATTGAACTTTTCAGAAGGCATCTACTATTAGAAAATAAGCTCAGAATTTACATTACAAAATTTCGATAATCACTTCTGATAATATAACACTTCTGATAACGGCAACAGGCCATGGGCCTATTTCTTCAGCGCCGACACTTCTATTCTATTCTATTCTAATATATTTTAGTAAATATTGTATTAGTCTACACTCATTTCCCTAAGAGCTAATAGACTAATAGATCAGGAGAGTTTTGAGAAAATTCTGATATATAAACGGTATTCCGTGTCATATCATCAGAGCTGGGCAGCGCTACTTTGAAATGTAGCGGCCGCTACTGCTACCGCTACATGCTCTAAATGTAGCGGGCGCTCCCGCTACAATCCCGTCCGACTGGAAAGAAGCTCAAGTAACACCATTGTTCAAAAAAGGTGACAAAAGCAGCCCCGGCAACTATCGCCCTGTCAGTCTGACAAGTGTTGTTTGTAAGCTGATGGAATCTGTTGTGAGGGATAGGATTATCGATCACTTGACTGCTCACCATTTATGAACAAGGCACGAAATGGAAAAGAATCGGCGACAGGCCACATCAGGCCTACACTTCAGAGCCGACATCACTATGTTATGTTATGTTATGTTAATTGCTTAAATGTAGCGCCGCTACCGCTACTGAAAATGTAGCAGCCGCTACATGTAGCGTGCTACTGCCCACCTCTGGTAACAACTAACATGTTGACACTAGTAACAGCTAGGCTGAGGTTGCAAAACATTACACCGAAATCTTTCGTACAGTTTAATTCTGTAATTTATATTATATATGTATATTATGTATTTAAAAACCAGCTAGTAGTAGTGCTGGTTTTTAAATAATATTTAATACTATTTAGTAAAATCTAAAAGCTTTATCTATAAAAGTAGCGGTAGCGCTGTAGCGGCAAAACCTCGTATCGCCACTCAAATATGTAGTGGGCGCTACCGCTACAGTTGCTTAAATGTAGCGCCGCTACCGCTACTGAAAATGTAGCGGCCGCTACATGTAGTGCGCTACTGCCCACCTCTGCATATAATCCACTCTCGATTTAGCACCGAGCGGAAATTATTGGACAATTATTATTGACAAATGATGATGCACTACGACACGGGCATCGTCTTCCTCAAGCTTTAGAGGCTGGTTTTGAGACTCGTTAGTGAAACAAAAGTTTTTTCTTCGTTATTCCTTACTTTGTCATTACACGTCTCGTAGAAATTATGTAAACGAATAACATTGTCACAGATCGTCGCCGCAACTTTTCCGTGTTGTCAGGCGGCCACCGACTATGCAGCCAAACGCAGGTGACTATCTTGTTGAAAATAATGATCTGAATGAAGTTTCAAGTGCTATTATTTTATTGCCCTTGGATTTAAATAATTAAAACTTCAGATAACGCAGATAAAACTTGACTTTTATTTCAGTAATGAACATTTAAAAGTGACGCGTTTTAAAAATAGCAAAACCAGCACGAGAGACATTAAAACTGCTTGACGAAACGTTTAGGACACAGCCACAAGAACTAGCGTAGGGAGGGACGCAGTATAGACCTCTGCTTAGCCCTTGCCCACAATTCAATATCTATTCCTTTCCGCTCGTAATCACGCTAGAGGGCATATTAGCCTGTGTGATTAAGTGCCTAAAGCCATAGGGTACGCACACAGTGAAAGCAGGTTGCCAGCGTGCTGGTTACCTGCTCAGGCTGGCGCCTGAAGCCATAGAATACAGAAGCCTATTCGTACAGGTTTTCACTGTGAACACTTACATTATTACCCTATGTTCATTCTTGTGGCAGGTTGGAGCAGGTTGCCCGCGCGGGCAAACCTGCTTTCACTGTGTGCGTACCCTAAAGGTGCCATTTCCTTTCCTGCAAATGAATCAATCAACCAGATGACATCAAGCCGCCGAAGCAACAACCGTGGGCAAATAGCCAAACTGTTGCGTGCTTGTATTAAACACAGCCTGAAGTCTTCGCGACTCTTAAAAATAAGCGCCCGACATAACAGTGCCGTTACGTCACAGCCACTGCTTCATCGCGCTCTACTCCACTGGCAAACGCGCAAACCGCCGTCCCTATAACGCCAGGGAATTGATGAATGCCATGCAGTGTGGTCAGCGGACACTTAGGATAACAGCATGTGTAAGAAGTGATGGTATGGGTTATAAAGCATTGGAGAACAACGTATTGACCGTTAACTATGTGGAGTTGCAGCTTGTCAGTGCTGAAGCAGTGTTGGTTTAAAGTTCGTGTGGTGAGATAGGTCAATTGACTACAGCTGCTTAGGTGCCAGGATGACAATATCTATATCATGTAGATGGTTGATGTCGGCTCCAGGGCTGATTTGAGCGTAAATTTGCTGGTCTACGACTGCGCACCCGAGTGGGGAGGGATTACGCCAGTCCTGCAAATAGCAGCGCATGTTTACGGTGATCCGGCGTGGTCTGCGGCCAGTAAGGCTTACGGCGTGTGTAAGAAGTGATAGTATGGGATAAAATTCTGTGGAGTAGGACCTGTTGACAATTGACTATTTGATTCAGCAGGCTGTGGAGTGTGGTAGGTGTTGCTTAAAGTTGGTGTGGGGAGATGACTCAGTTACCTACAGCTTCTTGGGTGTGAGCTGAGTTTAGTTATTGCATTATAGGGTAGGCGTTGGCGCTAGAGCTTGTTTATGAGCTAAATTTGTGGTGTAGGGCTGCGCTCCCGCGTATGGGCACAATAAGATCGCTAGTGGAGCAACGTAGCTAGGTGAGTTCATTTTAGAACTTTACAGTGGGGCTGACGGAACACCACTGCCCTGCAGAGCTGCCAGCGACTATTTTTTTTTAAACCCAAAATTATACTTCAAAAAACCTAGAAGTGAATAAGGAAAACCTAGATTTCTTCAAACATGTAATTCATAGTAATAAATCCTTATTATTCACATAGGAATGAGTATGGATACATAGGGTTAAACATAAATTGCAATTTAACTTATTTCCAATTTTATTGAACAGTTATTTTACATATTACAATTATCACTCATCCTCATCCCCCTCGTAAAAACAGCTATATCAGCATGTCTTGCATCCACTAATCTACTTTTATATCTCATGTACATGGCTCCATTGCGTAAGTCTTGAAGCAGTAATCTCTGGATTAACGCACGGCCTAGATACGGACTGTTTTGTGGCGGATATCACATTCCCTGCAAGGCTCCGGCGCGCTTCGTCCGACTGGTGCAGAATTTTTTCGCGGTACGGCGGACGATGCTAGGCCATTCGATCGCCGGCTGTTTCTTCTGCGGGCTGATTGGTCTAATAACTCTAATTCAATTGAATCTTTGTCTGCTGGCTTTCGGCTGCATATATGATGGTCCAGAAGTGTTGAAGGCTACGTTCCGGAAGGCAGGAATCATGATGGTCCATTACATCCAGGGCAGTGTCGGTGGTGGTGGTCTTCGGCAGGCGACCCAAAGGTCGCCTGCCGGGTTACGCAGCCGTGCGGGGTACGCAGCCGTGCACCGCCAAATTTGTGCACCAATCAGCCTTGAAAGGAACACCTAGCATATTTCCAGATAACCACCAATCAGCCGCAGATAAAGCCATCCGTTGGTAACCAGCCCGTGACATCATCTTGCTTTAACTGTTAGGAGCTTTACGCGACCACATTCTGAATCGAATAGCCCAGAGAGTAATGACAGTCAACCACTAAACGTTGCATCGAGTCATCACTTCATACCCTGACTTTAGCTCGAACTGTAACTTGCGGACAACGGCCTGCGAGCGATCAGCCCAGCCCAGCTCGCTAGCGGACCTGCATGAATCCTGCCGTGCACCACCAAACGGTCACTTTTAACTCACAACATTCGGGTTGGGTTTCAGAAACCATAGTTCTGTTCCAAAATCTATCGTCCACCGACGAATGACTTCTGAAGCTTCGCTAAATTACGTAACTTTTAGCTCACAGCATCTGGGGTTGGGTTTCAGAAAGCATAGTTCTGTTTCAAAATTTATCGTCCTAAGACGCGTGGGGACGCCTGCCGGAGACCACCACTGCCTTGCATCGAATGGACTATCATGATCCCTTCCCGCAAGAATGTAGCCTATTACACTTTTTGACTGTATCATTATCAGCCGCAAGCCACCAGACAGATCACATCCATTGAATTAGTTGAATCAGCTCACAGGGAAGTAGCCTGACGTAGAATGGCCCAGCATCGTCTGCCAATACGCGAAAAAATTTTACATTATCCGGACGGAGCGCGCCGGAGCCGTCCGTATCTATCCCGAGTGTCGAATCAGCCCACGGTCGAACGACCACGCTTCGTGCGACGATAAATTTTGGAATTGAACTATTCTATCTGAAACCTAACCCCAGATGTTGTGAGCTAAAAGTTTCGTAATTTAGCGAGCTGCAGAAGTCGCTCGTCGAAGGACGATAGATTTTGGAACAGAACTATGCTTTCTGAAACCTAACCCCGGATGTTGTTAGCCGTCTGGTGGAGCACGGCAGGATACATGCAGGTCCACTGGCGAGCTGGGCTGATCGCTCACAGTCCGTTGTCCGCTAGTTACAGTTCGAGCTATAGTCAGGGTATGAAGTGATGGTTCGATGCAACGTAGTGGTGGACAACCATTATTCTCTGGGCTATTCGCTTCAGAATATGGTGGCGTAAAGGGGTCGCCTGCCGAAGACCACCACTGCCCTGGATGTAATGGACCATCACGATTCCTGCCTTTCGGAACGTAGCCTTCAACACTTCAAGCCATCCGTATCTAGGCCGTGGGTCGAACCAGCTTTCGGTCGAACGGCCACTTGTCGAACGACGATAAATTTTGGAACAGAACTATGCTATCTGAAACCTAATCTCAGATGCGGTGAACGTAAAATTACGTAATTTAACGGTGCCCGGAACTGCAGAGCTGGGCAGCGCTACTTTGAAATGTAGCGCCGCTACCGCTACCGCTACA